TAATAAGAGCATTTAGTATGGTGTCTGGATAGATGTAAACGTGCATGTATCCACAGATTTCCTGCACACTAGTAATTACCGATTAAAATATGTAATGAGAGAAAACCCATTCAAATAAAATATAAGTATTTATGATATGTAAATATTATAAAATATCTAGGAATAAACAGACAATAGCTAAAACCTGTAAGTGAACTATAAGAATTTACTGAGAGGCATAAACGAGGATTAAATCAATGGAAAGACATTCTACTAGTGTCAGTAAATTAAAGCAATCAAAATCCCAACCCTGCATGAGGGAAAATGTGACACATTTATTATATTTTATGTGTTTGATAAAAATTGTATTCATTTAAGGTGTACAACATGGTGATATATCCCTATCTGTCTATAGTGAAATGGTTACTACAATCAAGCTCGTTAACATATCCATCTCTTCACATAGTTACCATTGTGCGAATGTGGTGAGTGCCTGAAATCTAGTCTCCTAGCAGATTTCCAGTATGCAATATACTATTAATAACTAGAGTCACCATACTGTACAGTAGATCTCCAAAGCATATTCATTCTGTATAACTGCAACTTTGTAACCTTTGACCACACTCCCCTATTTCCCCTCCTCTCCCTCCTCTGGTAACCACCATGTACTGCAGGAGAATATCAAAGAAAGTTTTGAAGGGAAAAAAGGTAATAAAAAACACAATCTAGTATTAGGGCAGGAATAGACAAACAGACTAGTGAACTATAAAATGAGAGTCCAAAAACAAATTCGTATATATGACAATATTTGAAAAGAGTAGGATTTCCAGTCACTGGAAGAAGCATGACATGTTCTATGGATTGTGTGGGGAAAATAGACATTTGGGAAGAACAGTTGGTATCCCTACCTCCACATCCTAAACAGAAGTCAATTCCCGAAGGATCCCTAGATGGATTATAGGAAATCCTGGTTTTCTAGTATTTTAGAAGTTATCTAAAACTAACACTATCACCATAAAGAATGGTGTAAATATACATGGTATAAAAATAAAAAAATATAAAATATTATCTGATACACATTAAGTGTTCTTTGCACCTTGTCCCCCAGCCACCCAGTTCCCCAACTCTGAGACAGTTGTTTCCAGTTTCTCATAGACAATGTGTAAAATAATGATTAATAAACAAAATATTATTTATTAGTAAATTATTTAATACTTATTTATTAAATACTAAAGACTTCTTTCTATATTACTAAACACCATAAATAAAGTTAAAAGTCAGAAAAACATGAAAATATAGAATAACATGTGGTGTATAAAGAATTTATTTTCCTATATAAGGAAATCTTATTAATTAATAAGAAAAAAGCCAGCACCTTATTATGAGTACTGTATGCAGTTGAAAGCGACAGAAAACCAATTAACCAGATATATGCAAATTATAAAATGTATATTATTCACCTCTCAGTTTGCAAAGAGTTAAAAGATTGACAATAATACTCATTATAGAGATTATCACACAGTCTTCATGGGTATTCAGTAAAAGCTTTCTAGAGAGCAATCTGCTTAATTATATCAAAATGTTAAATGTGTATATTCTTTGATTCATAAATTACACTATTATGATTTTGACTTGACATAATTGGTGAAATACACAAATATATGGATACATCACAAGATTACTTTAAAGCAGCAATGAGAATTTAATAACTTACTGTATAATGCTATTGTATCAGGAGACTTCCAGCTACGAGTTGAAAAAACGGCATAAACTAAAAAGGGATGTATTATATCATGTAATAAAGAATCTTAAGATAGTGTGGCTCTAAGGGAGGTTAAGTCTGTAGCTCAATGGCATCATCAAAAACCCAGATTTCTTCTGTGTCTGTCATCTTCAATATGTCAATGACCATTTTTCCTGATCACATTCAACAAATATGTATCAGGCACTAATTGACTATAGGAGATACAATAATAAGCAGAAAACCAACAATTCCTGCTTTCATGTATTTAGAAAAAATATACTGTACGTGTGCAAAAGGTAATAGCACGGTATGTGTTACATAATACAGTTTATGAAAAAGTTTCATTTAGGTGCAAACATAAAACACCCAAACATTTTTTGAGTATATTTACTATGTGACATTTACCCACTGCTAAGTACTTTATGTGGATTATCTCGTTTCACCCTCACAACAATTCTATGAGTTAAATATTATCATTGTCCAATTTAGTGTATGTGGTGCCCTGAGACTCTAAGAAATTGAATCACACATATATTAACTGGTAGAATCAGAATTCGAACCCATGTTTGTCTTACTCCGAAATCCATACTCTTACCCACTAACGTTTTGATAAATAAATAAATAAATAATAAATAAAACAAACGTCTAGAAGGAAATAGACCAGACTTTTAACAATCATTTTCTTTAGGAACTGATGACCTGAATGCAGCTGAGACACCACAAGAGCCAGGAGAAAGAGGGAGGGAAACAAAGTCAAAGGGTTCATTGATAGACACAATGGGCGGTGGTTGATTGCCTGAAGGTACTAGAGAAGTTTAAAATAGGGTTCATGGGTAGAGTAGACAGCCAGAACCTGTAATCAGGTTTCAGAGGCTATGTAAAATTTCATCATGGGGTGCCTGGGTGGCTCAGTCAGTCAAGAGTCCAATTCTTGATTTTGGCTCAGGTCATGATCTCAGTCGTGAGATTGAGCCCTGCGTCCTGCTCTGTGCTGACAGCCTGGAGCCTGCTTGGGATTCTCTCTCCTTCTCTCTGCCCCTCCTCCACTCATGCTTGCTCTTGTGCTCTCTTTGTGTCTCAAAATAAAAGAAAAATTTGGTCATGCTTTAGGATAGGGCCATGTGTGTATTTTACTGAAGTGAGGTAATAGTGAAGGTCATTGGATTACAGTAGGAGAATAAAACCACGATTCACTCAAATATTTATTGATTATTCAAGCGTATGTATATGTTACAGGTTGCAGAAACACTGGTGAACAAGATGAATAAGATTCTTACATTTGTGGAACTTACAGAGGCCAGATCTGGCAAGGCCTTGTAGCCATGTTAAGAAATGTAAGGTTTATTTGGATTTTGTTCTAAATGTGATGAGAAACCACTGATGAGTAGTAAGCAGGACGACTTGATCTGTTTTTCTGTTTTGAAAAGACCATTTTGGCTCTTATGTTGAGAATGTATCTTGGGAATAAGAACAGAAAGTAAGGTGACCACCTAGGTAGATACCGAAGTAGTTCAGGAAAGAGTTGATAGTAGCCTGGATGAAGGTGATAGCAATGGAGATGCTTGGTGATGGATTTGATACAGGAGGTAGGGAGAAAGAGGAGCTAAGGATATCTGCTAAGTTTCCATGTTGAACAAAGGGATGGATAGTGGTGTTATTTATAGAGATGAGAAAGATCGGGGCAGAAGGAACACATTCTGATCGATGCTGATTTCATATGGGATACAATAACTGAAGTGTGAGCAAAGGGAAGATTGTCTAGTAAGAGGAGAGCATAGAGAGCAAGGAAAAGAACTGGGAAAAAAAAGAAAAGGAAAGCCTTGGACTTCTAACAGAACTGAGAACAGTTCCCGAAGGGGCATGGTGTAGTCAGAAATCATTCCACCAACGCTGTGCTGACAAAGGTCACTCATGACTTCCGGCTCTCTTGAACCTTACAGGTATATTGTAGTCACTATCTTTCTGAAACCACTACCGCGCACTCCTTCCTGTGAAACTACACTCTCCGGGTTTTCCATTCTCTCCTCTGCAGTTTCTTTGCCCTTTATTGCTGTCCTCCAGGCAAGACTAAGGAGTTTCGCTCTATGTTGAGCTGCCAGGGACAACTTCCAGAGCTACATCTTCTCTAGAATCAGGAAGCTGCTTGCAGATTTTGAAGGCTGTTTGTTTCAAAATTTGATGGAGGTGAGGGAGAAATCCAGGCAGTTATCTCAGGAAAGAGAATTCCACATACAGCATAGAGCAAGTACAAAGGCCCTGAGGTGTGAATGTGCTTGGTGCATTTGAAGAGCGTTTCAACGTCTCAAGTATGGGCCTGATTCTGGTTACTTTTAAGGTAAAGCCAACATAACCAGAGAGATCCAATGTGGACTATGAAAGAGAGGAGTCAAGGATGACTCCAAGGTATTTGGCAAAAGTACACAGAAGGGCAAGGTTGCCATTTACTGAGGAAGGAAAGGTCATGGGAAGAACACATTTGGGGAGGAAGATTAGGAGCTTGGTTTGGGCCATGTTAAATCTCTGATGCGTAATAAACATTCAAATGGATATGCTGGGTAGGCAGCTGTTTATAAAGGTCTGGAGCCCATGGGAAAGAGACAAGCTGGAGATATAAATTCAGGACTCTGGCTTATAACTTGGTATTTATAGCCATGGGACTGAATAAGGTCACCAAAGGAATTAACCAAAGAAAAGATGATCAGGTCCTGGAGTTAAAAGGAGTGTTTTGAGGAGAATGGAATATTAACTATATTAAATGCCATGGCATTGTTGGTTTTTCCTTTCTACCTTCCTTCCTTCCTCACTCATTCGCTCATGACTATAAAAATGGTAAAGCTGCGCATAATTCAGCCTTCCTGTGCCTAGACTCAGAAGCAAACATCTTTCCCTTTTTTCCCCTCCCCTAAATATGCACCATCAACCACAGGCAGTGTTCTGAACTACTGTGTTCCAATCTGGGCCCCACACTCCAGGTGACCCTGACACAAAATGGATGTCATAGACTGGGACTCCAAACAGCAATTTAGGCTGCAGAAAAGATTTCTGGGGACGACAGTTGTAAACAGCTACGCGGTGTTATGGGATTCTCAGACAGTAGTGAGGTCTCTGTGACTTTCAACTTGATGATTATATAATTTTCAAAAGTCATATTCTTGTTCTGGCTCTCAGATACTGGTGAAGACTGTTTTGCATAGGATGTGTCATATGTAACTGATAGCCTGCAATGGTTACTATTGCGGTGACAGACTCTGGAAATAGCTACAACACACACTTGGAATCTCACAGTCACATAATCAACCATTTTACTAAATACAAGCAAATTCTCATTCACATACAGCTAAAGAAAACATTTTTCCACATTTCATTACAATGCACAACAAAGTGAGAAAAAGGATACAGTACATTTTATTCTGGAATATGGGACAATCCAATCCAACATGCAGTTGCAGTCTTTGTTACAAGTTAGTTGATCTTTTCTTTACCTATGTAGTAAAATAGCTTCTAAAGCTTCATCCTTAGTATTGTTTTAAGACCTGATTTTTTCACACTCAGTTTCTAAAAGCCACTTATTGCAGTGACAACAGCACTGGCTTCTACTAAAATGATTTTTAAAGTTTCTAGAACTTGTTTAAGCAATTAAGCTCAGCCACCTTTGCTGGATCCTATGCTGAGTATTTTTAAACCTGCCCTTAAAAATGCAAGGAATGGAAAAAGTATACATAGAATGTCTTTTAGACAAGAAAACCATGAAGTTTTGTTTCTATCCTTTTTTGGAACTGACAGAATCCACTGAAAAAACTCATGTACCCACTGGATAATCTTGCTTTCAGAATCTTCTTAATATAATTAAACATAATAGTTGATGACACTTTGTGTTAATCCTGTGCACCATCTTTTATTTGCCTTCTAAAACCTCAAAGCCGGCAACTTAACCACTGCAGCCAGGCCACGTCATGTGAAACGAATGGTTCAGGTGTAGTTGATGCCGCACGGCAGTCCAAGGTGGTTTGTTTCCATAATTCTCGCTATGTGGCTGCTTCTTTGTGGCTGAAGCACATTCCCGAAGTTTCAGATCCAGTCACATTCATAGTGAAGTTCAGGATTCCGTCTCAAAGCGATTTACCATTGTCAGGCTTTCCTGTCACAATGGATATGAGAAACCTGACTGTTCAGAATTGTTTTCTTACTGTGAAAAGTATGGCTTTTGCCTAGCTCAGCTGGCTACGATCTGAAAAATAATTTGAAGCACGACCTCTCTTCAAGAAGGTAATGGAACCTTAAGCCAACCATTTCAGTTTTCCGATGCAGTTAGACATCTGTTCACCTGAGAATTAGGAGCTGACTCTCGAGGGTAGACAAGGACCCAGTGTAGAATATGGCAAACAGGTGGCCAAGGTCGTTGTGAGGTGAGTGTTTCCCTCCATCCCACTCCCCATTGCTGCGTTTGGTTCCTTTTGCCAACACGTCCACTGTGTCTCAGTGAGAAGAACACTCGTAGCCCACACAGTTTTCATGTGTTTTTAGTTGTGCAATTACTCACTCGTTTAAAGCCCATGGTCAGTAGTAATACCTGAATCGGCTTTACCTTCGTTTCCTCCCCAGGTTCCCTCAGGATTATAGCTGAGTCGTAAGCAATAAGGAAACACCCTAGCACGTAGAGAACATTTATTTACAGTCATCTCTCTTCCAAAGTAAACAGATTAATAACAGTTCATTCATCTGACAGCAGGGACAAGATGGTGCGGCGGGACAAGAACTAGGAGTCAGGAGGCCTTCACCTTGGCCAAGAGAGGCTCCTGCGTCTTAGCTTACTCTTCTGTAAAATGGGGAAGAAAACCTTAGAGGCCTGCTGTTAACTCAAGTGACCGGTGGAAGTGTTTGTGAGGGCGAGGGCGGCGCCTCTTGCTGAGCAAATGTTGCCTCAGGGCTCTTTGCGAAGCAGTCCCTGAACTGCCGCCTCCAACCCGAAGGGACAGGCAGCTTGTGCGTTTTCAGTTAGGTCGAGTTAGGCCGCAGCTGCCCCTGCAGGGAAACCCCAGGCACGGTAGGGGCGTGTGTGTGTGTGTGTGTGTGTGTGTGTGTGTGTGGTTGGGTGGGTGTGTGTGTGGCATGGGTCGCAGGGTCCCTTTCTTCTACTTATATGGTAATCTGCATGGCACAGTTTCTTCCACACACTTGGTTATTCCATCACAAGGGTGTGCATTTTCTGGAATGTGATTTAAAAAATTATGTATAATGGCTTCCCTTTTCATATACACAGTCTTTTTACTAGAACAGGCCTCGAAAGGTCTTAGTAAATAGCTGGTCCGTGCCCCTCATTTTACAGACGAGCTGTTTGGAAGCTAATTGGTACCTTTTCACCAAACCCCGCACACACACTCAGTGTAGGATACTCTGACTGATTCAGTTGGTCTCGTAGTCTTTTTTAGTTTTGCTTATTGTTTCCAATGTGATACTTTTCCCCCCTTTACAGATTTATGTTTGTGACCTATGAATGAGCTGAAACACCAGGAAATAGCTGTCCTGTCTGTGGGTGTATTTTTCTGGGGCCCAGCTCCCCAAACCTCAGCCCCTTGACATGTGGTCCACAGAGAGCACGTGGAGCAGCCACCACTCACACTGGGCCATAAACAGTGCCCGGAATGAGTCCTTCAGTCCCAGGACCCAGGCTCCCACATCTGCCCGCCCGCCCTCCGCGGCCTGTCCAAGACCCCTTGAGAAGGAGGCTCACTTGTATGTAAAATGGAGGTTGAATTCTCTTTAGTCACGCAAGATTCTCTTCATTTTGATCGCTTTTAAGTTCGGGTGGGAGAGCATGTTTGGGAAGTAAAAGGGCTGACTAGCACAGACATCTCCTCTCTGACTTGACAACCTCTTCCGAAGAGTGAACCACGTTTGGTACAAATCCACTCTTCACCCCTTCCCATCCCTCCTGGATTGTAATATCCCCCCTTTTAACCAGCTCATAGATGTCTCTTGTCAGGTCTGTGAAGGCTTTCTCCACGTTAATGGCATCTCGGGCTGATGTTTCAATGTACTTCATGCCGTACGCAGCAGCCAGTTTCTCTGCCTCGTGGCGAGTCACTTGCCTCTGTGTATCCAGGTCACACTTGTGACCCACCAGAACAAATACAATTTGGTAGGGCTGAACGTGTACTTTGGTCTCTTCTAACCACTCATGGACATTCTGGAAGGACCTGCGGTTGGTAATGTCAAATAAGAGAAGGCCACCTACTGAGTTCCTGTAGTAGGCGCGAGTGATGGATCTAAAACACAAGAAAAGAGTAAAGAATAAAGGCCATGTCCAAACTCCTGTCCTTCAATGAACTCAGATCGTGCATTCTAGCGTGTCTGGTTATGGACACAGTCCTTTAGTTAAAAATGATTTTCCTTTTTCCTTAAACAATGGAATGCAGATGTCATTCTGTAATAACAATACACGAATTTTCAGTTGGGCAAAACTTTGAGATGGCATCTTCTAAAAATGAATGCTTATGGCCTTACAGTCATTTTCCCTCAATTCAGGTAGAACCACAGCTCACTCTCCCACCCTGGCAAAATGGGATACCTAAGCCCCAGGTAGCAAATGAAGCAAAATGAAATAATGAATGCTAAAGTGTTCTATGACCTGGAGAGCTCATTACAAATTGTAGTAGTTGAAACAGGACTTGAAAAGACTCAAAATGAACTTTCGATAGTCGACAGACATATATTGCAATAGGCTCCATTTTTCCCACTTCTCATTGCTATGTGTATCTATTATTATTACTATTATTTTACTCTAAGAGCGGTCCTCCATCTCTTCTCTGAGGAGAAACGCATTTTGTTTTTTTTATTTGCTAGGCCATGTGGGAATGGGAAAAAGAAGAATGGTCTGCAAAGGTCCTGACACACTTCACAGAGGCTGACTCAGGAGCTACCACTGTGAAAAACTGCCTAAAGAGCCAAAATTAACCCTTAAAGTGACATAATTTATGTAAAGCAATGTAATTAGAATATTTCTAAAACCTATTATACATGTGCTGTGCTTCTTAAACAGAGGAAACTGACTATATTTTAACTCCTTAACTTGACACATGTTATGGTACTTTGCTTATTAGAGGGTGTCGAACTATTTCTGCCTTTACAGTCACTGTGCTTTTTGATCTATGTCTATTCTTAGGTTTTCTGTCTTCTTGGATTAAAAAAAAAAAAAAAGATAAACAATAAGTGACTCAAGAGCTTAAAGCTTAGGACAAGTGGCCCAGTGATAAGAGAACAAACATCGTCCAGGGAATTAAAGTCCAAGCTAGAGGATGATAAGGACAAATGTCGCGAATGAGTTCAACCAAGCAAATCCGCCTTGGAGACAGAAAGTATTTCTGATTCCCTTCATGGAGAATGGCAGTTGTAATCAGAAAATTCAACATGAACAAAGGTTTTCATTTGTGAACAACTTGGTTTAGGAAATCAGTGAGCAAGCTGTAGATCCCTGTCAGAATGCTAAAAGACATTATTTATATTGATGGTCTGTGAGTATTTAGAAAGTAAGAAAGCCCTTTCCAAACACAACACGAGGCTACATAAAAATTAAAACCTTCTGTACATCAAAAAGTTTTTCTTAAAGTGACAAGACAAATGACAAACTGGGAAAATATTTTACAACGTACATGACAGAAAAGGATTAATAATCTCTAAGGAACTCTTACAAATCAATTTATCACCCGATAAATGATATAAGCAGTGGATAGGAAAAGGCTGTTCATACAGAGATTGCAGTAAACATATAAAAGACACCTTTCTTCATTTATAATATGAGAAATGAAATCACAGACTCCATGTGAACCTGTACGGGGACATTTGGCACCGTGTTGTTCGTGGAACTGGGGGAGGGGGAGGGACAACTTAAGTTTGTGGAGAACTCTTCTCTCTCCTCTTCCTGAACTACCTAGCCAGTATTTTCTGTGCTCAGTTAGCATTCAATAGATAAATGAAGAAATAATCCTAAACATATTTCAAAATGAACAAACACTATTGAGTCCTTTTGGTCCCGTTCCTGCTGCTTTCTGTGACTTTAGCTCCAATTGTTGTGTCAGAGTTTTCTGCACAGCACTGCTCTCTCTCCCTTGTCTTTATACAGGATGCTCTCGCTCCCTGGGCTTTTCCTGTCTCTGCTGGGCTAGTTCTACTCATCATGGCCTCATCTTCTGCAGAGAGCCTTGTCTGTGTTCACACACGTAATTACACATGGTACATACTACAAAGGAAAAACAAAGGGTTGTAAGAGAAAATTACACCTGTTCATTGATTACTCATTATATGCAAAGCGTTATAGTAGGGAGTGAGCATACAAATATGAACAGGACACTCTTTTGTATAATTGCTGATTATGTATTTCCTCCCTCTGTGCCAGCACAGAAGTTGCAACAAGGAAGGGCCTGTGTCTGTTTTGTTTACGAGGCATCCTCCTGTGTGTTTCCTTGGGCTGTTTCCCCAGAAACAAGCTCAGCGCTGGCATGCAGCGGATGATCACTGAATGTGTGCTGGTGGCAAGAAGGGATCAATAATCAGTATCTATTTCATGTAATTATGTGTGTGTGTGTGTCTCTTGATCTGTATCTAGGTCTATAGGTAGCTGTCTCTATAAACCACCTATCTATACCCGTCAGTTATGTTAGGTTGACCTGGGAACGTTTTTGAGAGTATGGAGCGTAAGGACTGAGACGGATAAATTACAGTGACCGATTCCAGCTAGTGTGTTAGGCACCGAGGGGCACATCGGTGGGGTGGAATTGTGGTGCAAGCAATACGCATCAGTGACCGGCCTTCCCGGCCAGGGCGCTTCTTTCCCTGCACTGAACTCCCAGGTAGCTGAAGGTGGGCTTGAGCAGAAACCCCCGGGGGCTGGGTATCGTCCCTAAGGGGCCGCGACCAGGACCAGGAAGTCCTCTTTCCCCAGGGGTTGTGCAAGCCCCGAAGACCCTCCCGCTGCTCGCGGCCCCGGCTGAGCTCCCACCTGAACCTCTCTTGACCCGCGGTATCCCAGATCTGGAGCTTGATGCGTTTTCCTGGCTCGATCTCCACCAGACGGGAGAAAAAATCCACCCCCACAGTGGGGTCCGAAACCTGGGCAAAGCGGCCCTCGGTGAAGCGGCGAATCAGACAGGACTTGCCCACCGTGGAATCCCCGATGACAATGAGCCGGAACTGGTATAGCCAGATGGCCTCCATGGCCAGAGATCAGCAGGTCTCCTTGGCCCGGGCCGGCCGTGGGCGGCGAGAGGGGCGCCCAGCCGAGGCCTCGGAGAGCGTCGCTTGGTCCGGATCTAGATCGGCCACGAGCACATCGCTGGCCTGGGAGCCGAGGCGAGGTAGGCCCAGGCGCAGGAAGAGCGAAGGAATGGATGCTGCGCTCGCAGAGGTGATGAAATGGCAGCAGCATCAGCACCACGCACTCTGACTCATCACTGACAACCAAGTTACTGTAATCCCGCGCGTAGACGCGACGCCCGGGACTGCCGCACTATCTGTAAAAGAAGCGCACACAGAAACAGCCGCGAAAACAGCTCCTTCCTTTCCTACTTCCTCCACCCACCTCCTCTTCTTTTAATTTTTCTTTCCATCGTCAAAAAGCAAAAGTAATACCTTTTCATTAAAACTAACAAAACAAAGCAAGGATGTACACAAAAGGTATGTCCATCATTGTCTGACCCCTCCCCCCCCCCGCCCCTTCCCCAAGATATTAACAGCTTGGGATATATTCTTCCATGTGTAGTTCCATGCAAATACATATGCACATAAAAATTCTTTTGCTGTTTGATGTTACAAAAATTGTATCAACTTGGACCATCACCCTGACATTTGCTGTTTGCAATTAATAAAGAATCTTAGAAGTCACTACCAACTCATTTTCCTTTTGCCATGACAATGCTGCAATAATGATTCTTGGTCACACATCCATTTTTTCTATGACATGGAGTCTTTCAAAGGGGAAGACGAAATCAAAGAGTATGAGCATTTTAAATGTAATGGATATGGACTTTGCAAAAACATTTACCAATTTAAATTCTACTTAGCAATGTGTAAAAAGACCATTTCTTCACCTTTTTTCAAGCATCATGTTATATTCTTTCCAAATTCTTGCCAGTCTGATGTACTTAAATAAAAACGTGATCATTGTTTTATTTTACATTTTCCTGACTACTAATGAGGTCAATACCATTTCGTGTGCATGGACCATTTGCATTTCCTCTTCTGGAAATTGCCTCTTGAAATCCTTTGTTCTTTTTTAAAAACTGTAATCCCTTATCATTGCCTTACTGAATTAAAAACAGCTTTATTGATATATAATTCACATACCATGCAATTCGCTCATTTGAAGTGTAGAATCCAATGCTTTTTAGTCTAGTCACAAACTTGTGCAACCATCACCACAGTCAGTTTTAAAATATTTTCAGGGGCACCTGGGTGGCTCAGTTGGTTAAGGATCCAACTTTGGCCCAGGTCCTGATCTCGTGGTTTGAGCACTGGAGTCCTGTGTCGCGCTCTGTGCTGACAGCTCAGAGCCTGGAGCCTGCTTCAGATTCTCTGTCTCCTCTCTCTGCCCCTCCCCTGCGTGTGCTCTCTCTCTCTCTCTCTCTCTTTCTCTCTCCCTCTCTCTCTCCTTCTCTCTCTCTCTCCCTCTCAAAAAGAAACATTAAAAAATATTTTCAATACGAGGTACCTGGGTGGCTCACTTGGTTAAGTGGCCGATTCTTGATTTCAGCTGAGGTCATGATCTCATGATAGTGGGATCCGGCTTCCCATGGAGGCTTCTTGGAATTCTCTCTCTCTCCCTCTCTCTCTGGCCCTCCCCCACTTGCACGCACTCTCCCTCTCTCAAGATAAACAAGTAAGCATTTTTAAAAAAGCAAATAAATATTTTCATCACCTCAAAAACAAATCATCCCTCCCTCCTGGCCCCTGGCAACCACAAATGTACTTAGTCTCTATATAGATTTCCTTATTCTGGGCATTTCATATAAATGAAATTCTAGAATATGGAGATGTTTATAGCTGGCTTCTTTCACTTAACATGTTTTAGAGGTTCATCCACATTCATTTTTATCACTAATATTCCACCAGGTGGGTATACCACATTTTGTTTATCTATTTATCTATTGGTAAACATTTGGGTTGTTTCCACACTTTGGCTGTTATAAATAATGCTACTATGAACATTTGTGTACAAGTGTTTGTTTGAACACATGCTTTGAACTCTTTTGGGTTTAAAACTTGGAGTGGAATTCCTGAGTTCAATGGTGACAATATTGAATCCTTCGAGGAAATGCCGGACTGTTTTCCATAGTGGCCACAATGCATGAGGCTTCTAATTTCTCCATATCTTTCCAACACTTGTTATTTTCTGACTTTTTGATTTTAGACATCCTAGTGGCTGTGAAGTGGTAGCTTATTGTGATTTTGATTTGCATTTCCCTGAGGACTAATATGACAGTGTGTATATTTTTGCACTTCTATTGGCCATTTGTATATCTTCCTTGATGAAATGTACACCCAGATCCTTTTCCCATTTTTATGTTTATTTATTTTTATTTTTTTAAAGTTTATTTATTTTGAGAGAGAGAGAGAGAGCTCGCTAGCAGGAGAGGGGCAGAGAGAGAGAGGAAGAGACAAAATCCCAAGCAGGGGGCTGAATCTCACAAGCTGTGAGATCATGACCTGAGCCAAAATGAGGAGTTGGACGCTTAACCAACTGAGCCACCCAGGTTCCCCATCTTTTCCCCATTTTTAAACAGTGCTGTTTGTCTTTTTATTATTGAGCTGTAACAGTTCTTTATATATTCTAGGTATGCCCTTCTCGGATACATGATTTATAAATATTTCTCCCATTCCGTGTACCTTTTTGCACTTTGCGCTTTCTTGAGGGTATTTCCTTGAAGCACCAAGTTTTAAATTTTGATGAACTAGAATTTTTTTTCCCGCTTTTGTTGCTTAGGCTTCTGGGGTTGTATCTAAGAGTACTTTGCCAAATTCAAGGTTATGAAGATTCACTCCTATGCTTTCTTCTAAGATTTTAACTCATACATTAGGTCTATGCTCTATTTTGAATTGATTTTTTATATAAGCTGTGAGCTAGGGGTCCAACTTCATTCTTTTGCATATGGGGAGCTAGGGCGAGTCCTCCTCCTATGTTCTTTTCCAAGATTGTTTTGGCTATTTGGGGCCTCTTTTAATTCCTTATGAATTTTAAGAGCGGCTTGTAAATTTCTGCAAATAAGGCACTTGGGATATTGATTGGGATATTGATTTATAGATCAATTTCATCTTAACAAAATTAAGTTAAATTAAATCTTCTAATACTTGAACATGAAATATCTTTCTACATATTTAGGTCTTTAAATTTTTACTTTAATAATTTTTTTTCAGTTTTCAGTTTACAAGTCTTTTTTTTTTTTTTTTTTTTTTTTACAAATAGTTTATTGTCAAATTAGTTTCCACATAACACCCAGTGCTCATCCCCAAAGTGCCCTCCTCCATGCCCATCCCTCCCTCCCCCTCACATCCATCAGTCCTCAGTTTTTGTCAGCATTCAAGAGTCTCTCATGGTTTGCCTCTCTCCCTTTCCCCCACCATTTCCGCCCTTCTTCTCCCCCTTGTTCCTCCGTCAAGTTCCTCCTAATCCTCCTATACGTGCAAACATATGGTATCTGTCCTTCTCTGCCTGACTTATTTCGCTCAGCATAACACCCTCAAGGTCCATCCATGTTGCTACACATGGCCAGATTTCATTGTTTCTCATTGCCATGTAGTATTCCATGGTATAGATAAACCACATCTTCTTGATCCATTCGTCTGTTGATGGACACTTAGGCTCTTTCCATGTTTTAGCTATTGCGGAGAGTGCTGCTGTGAACATTGGGGTCCATGTGCTCCTATGCCTCAGCATTTCTGTATCCCTTGGGTAAATTCCTAGCAGTGCTATTGCTGGGTCATAGGGGGGTTCTATTGTTAGTTTCTTCAGTTTACAAGTCTTAACACTTCTTTGGTTAAGTTATGACTAAGTATTTTATTCTTTTTGATGCTACTGTGAATGAAGTTGTTCTCTTAATTTCATTTCCAGGTCGTTTCATTGCAAGTGTATAAAAATACAACAGAGGCTGTCTGTGTGGGCGTGATGGCTTCAGGATTACTTCACGGAGTTGGAGCACTGGCTGCACAGGCCCTCAGTCAGGGCCCACGGTCCCAACGGAGTCCCCCTGGTGCGCTCCATGCCACCTGGAGGCGGTGTTCCTACTGGGAGGAGGAGGTGGCTGGGCTGGAGGGGAAGGTCATGAGGGCTGCACAGAAGGGAACCCTACAACATGCTAGCCCCCAGGCAGCTTCAGGCACCAAAAAAGACCCTACTCTAGTCCCATCTGTCACCAACAAGCAAATAGTGCTGCTTCTGTGAAGAGGACAATACTGCCATCATCTGGTTCTGGCCGCAGAGAGGAGAGGCCCAGTGAGGACCTAGTTGGGGACCCATTACGAGCTGGTGCCCCACCAGTTGGCCACTGAGCCTTTGCACTAACTTACTCAAATGTGCTGTAGGGACACCTGGGGGGCTCAGTCGGTTAAGCGTCCGACTTTAGCTCAGGTCATGATCTCAGGGTTCCGTTCGTGAATTCAAGCTGACTGACAGCGCAGAGCCTGGATCCGGCTTCAGATTCTGTGTCCCCCTCTCTCTCTTCCCCTCTCCTGCTCGTGCTCTCTCTCTCTCTCTCTCTCTCTCTCTCCAAAATATATAAATGTTAAAAAAATTTTTAATTAAAAAAATTTGTGGATGTTGAGTCAAACTTGCATTCCTGGTGTAAATCCTACTTGATCATGGTGTATAATTTTTTAAATATGTTGTTACACTTGATTTGTTAGTATTTTGTTGAGAATTTTTTCACTCAAGTTCATAGTATTTATTGGTCTGTAGTTTTCTTTTATTGTGATGTCCTCCTCTGGTTTTAGCATCAGGGTAATATTGGCCTCATAACAGGAGTTTGGAAGTGTCCCTTCCTCTTCTGTCATTTGGAATAGTTTGTGAAGAATTGGTCTTAATTCTTTAAATGTTTGCTAAAACTCAAGTCATCTGGGCCTGTGCTTTTCTTTGTGGGTAGTATGTTGACTGCTAATTCAGTCTCTTGTTATAAATCTACTCAGATTCTCTATTTCTTCCTCTTTTAAAAATTTCTAATGCATTTTGTTTGACCAAATATATCCAAATCTATACTCAATTTTATAATCAACGACTCAGTTTATAATCAATATAAAAGTATGAATGAAATGTTTTATATATTTTTGTACTAAGCCTTGGAACTCTCATGTGTATTCTGCACCTACGGCTTTGTCGCTTGTGGCTTGTGGCTTGTGGCAGTGTGGCTCCCTCCGTAGAGG